ATTTTGGAACGAAGCATGGTTTATCTTCTTGATTTAACAATTTCAACAATTCACGATTTCTCTTCTTGGTCACACAAATGCACCAAGGTGTCCTTAGAGGATCAGTTGTGATATGGTTTCATAATCACTAAGATGATCATAAAACACGATATATAAGTACTCTCCTTTCCATTCAGATTGGAGAAACTTTTATCTTTCTGCCTAATTGATTCTTCTTATTCGTTCTGCTATACATTGAAACTTTTTCAATGATTCAGAATTATACTTAATCTTGTAAGCATAATCATATTCACTAGGCTTTTAGTAAATCATGACAAATAGTCTTATCGTTCTTTGTGGTGGACCTGACCAGTGCACAACAAAGTGTACTAGATCCCCTAGTCCTTCACTTGACTCACATCTATATGTGAACAAGGAATTAGTCTTAATTTCCCAAAGATGAAGGTTCTCATTCATCATACAATACAAGTCGCATGATTCCAAGTTTCTGTCCAATTGAAACTTTGGTGATGAGAATCTTTCCTTATTTGGTAAGTTTAGACACTACAACAAACGAAATAATCAAATCCATATTGCTAAAAATAGAAACATACAAACATCAATTTTCACAAATGCCATTGCAAGGAAATATAAAATAAGATAAAATCAATTTTTTTATTTAGAAAATGCGAAAAACTTGTCCTTACAATGCAAATACATATGAAAACTATGTTGCTAAATATTCCTAAGCAATCTATCATAACTCCTAAGCAGCAGCTCAAAATTCTGATCATCGAATCATGCGATCGAAATCCATCTGTTCACGATCAGACTCAACCTGCTCTTTCCTTAAGCTTCCTTTCTCTTCTTCGATCCTTCAAAACATCAAAATGTACTCTTATCACATCATGTATCAAGAATCTATAAATAGGAACTTAATAGAGTTAGATAGTGGACTCAACTGAAGCAGAGTCAAACACTTTGACTTTAGCATCCTTGTGATCTTTCAGGTAAATATGGCAGCTTCGCATTCAATGCCCCTTCTCTTGGCAATAGAAACAAACAGACTCTCCTGGAATGGTACACGGGACAATTACAGACTTAGCCTTTCTCTTTACCACTTGGTCAAACGGTTTGACCTTGGCCTTTCCATTGGGAAGAGAAAGCTTTTCTGGACTTCCAATGTCGCCATTGTCAATGTCCATGGAAATTTGGGAAGTAGATTTTCCAATCAAGTTTGCTTTACCAGTGTGCCAAATCATTATAGATTCAGCAGCAATTAGCAAATAAGTAAGATCGATAAGGATCACGTCGCGGTCTGTCATATAGTAATCTTTAATGAACTCACTATATGAATTAGGAAGTGATTGAAGAACCAAGTCAACAGTCAACTTCCTTGACACAACGACTCCTAACATTCACAGCCTGTCAATGTGTGACTTCATCTCCAAGACATGTGCACACACAAACCTTCCATCTTGGTGTTTGCTTGCCAATAGAGTTTGAGTGACCTTTAACTTTTCAAGTCGATGAACATGTGGGTTAGGGAGAACTATTGGAGGAGGTGGAGGAAGTGAAGTATGATATTGTGGAATATCATCTTCATGTGGAAAGCTTTTTCCAACAGGATAAGGCAGACCATAGTTGTCTGACCTAGACATCTATAAGGGGAGAAATTCAAGTTAGTTGATTTAAGTCATTAATATAACACCCAAATGAAATATTAAGGCTAGGACCCAACACAATATTCTACAATTCGGAAGAAGGATGTCGTAATCCAATTGTAGAATATTTGAAGGTAGGTAAATGACGATTTACCAATTTCCACCATGAAAAACAAAAAGGGGTATTAAGTTTTAAATGAATTGAAATTCCTAGATTCTTTGAGATTAACTTTCTCAATGGCATGTTTAATCTCGATCATGCAACCCTAATTGCTTTGGATCTAAGTTTTTTACTAATTGAACATGCAAAAGAAATTCCAAAGCAATAACCCTAGATCTAGCATATATAATTCGAAATTCACATATGAAAAAGGGTTATGTAGATTACTTTGCTTGTTATATAGCAATAAAAAGACTTCGTAGCTTGATCTTGACCTTTGAAAACTTAGTTCCCCAAATGTTGCACCTCTAATGGCTCACAAACAATTGTAGCAAGAGGATGATAAGGAGAGAGGAGGGATATTGCAGAATTTCGGCTAGGGTTTCTATGCTCTAAGCATTGGCTAAAAAACTCATGTATATGTGTCTTTAAATAGCTGAGGCTGTTAGGGTTTTTAGGTGGAAACCCTAATCTCTTGCTTAGGCCCTAAGCAGTCCATGGACCTCCTATCCTAGAAGCCTTGGACGAAATTCTATAGGGCCTCCCTATAGATTTCGTCCACTCCATACCAAAGGAGTCCAACAGTCCAGTTTTGCAACTATCAATGATTTGCAAAACAGCCCCTGTTCTTTTAATCAGCTCCTTTAATCCCAAAATTAATTCCAAATTAATTTCTGATCAAATACTAATTAAATAATATGATTTCTAATTAATATATTATTTCCATAATATATTAATAAATCATTTATTAACCTCTCTCACCATAAATCATCCTGTCAAGTTGCTAAAGTGAAGGCAACCCAAAAGGACCATGCTACTATCAAATCAAGTTCATACCAATTATAATTATGGGCTTAGACACCTAACCCAACACCTACCACCAGAGAAAATGGGTATCTTGACTTTACAGATTGCGTAGAAGACGACATGGTCTGTGGGAACCAAATGGTCGCCCCTTTTTTCTACGGTAGCGATTGTGGCCGAGAGACCACCGGCTGCGACAGCTGAGTCGACCACTGTGACCGTTGGGTCGATACTTGCGACTGGAAAGTTGTCAGTTGTGATAGCTGAATCGTTGTTGACTGAGACGCTACGGTTGCAGTTGCAACCGATTGCTCTGTTGTGATGGGTGATAATCGTCATAGGACGGCGATTGTTGTAGTTGTGTTTCCCGTTATTGGACTTAACGTCTGTGTTTCTGGCATGTGGGTGGTGGCTTGTCCGTCTGAGGCAGATGGTTATGTACCATCGAGCGATAACATTGATCTGTGTGGACTCGTTTCCCCCTGCCGGACGTCGTAGGTGCCTTTCCCGTCATTGTCGCCGTCTAGGGTCGTTTTAAGGTTGTGTAAATCTGAGTACATGCCCGGATAGCGCCAAATGTTTTGATAACTCTTTGAGCTTAACGCCGCCTGTGGTGGTTTCGCCTGAGTTAAGCCCGAGAATCACAACAAAGAAAGAGCCGACGTTAGTCATCGTCCAGGAGGGGGTCCCGGAACGAGATTCTGACGGTCTAGTCAGTAGTTGTATGAGAGAATTAGGGTTTTAGATTAAGATAAAGAGAGAGGTGATCCCTTCTTCTAGAGAATAAGGGTCCTTTTATACATGTCGTCTGGGGAGCATGTCCCCGACAACACCTTTTGTCTCGCTTGGACCGGTAGGACGCAGAGGCGTCCTATTGGTGGGTCGTGCTCCATTAGTGTTTATCTGTTATTGGTGTAAAGTCAGTGGAAAGCAACGTCTCGAGCGCTACACCTATCATTCTGGGGAGTAGCTGGTACTATTTTGGCATGTTATAGGCCTTGGCGTTAGATCGTCTGGGCCGAAGTACGAGGAAGCAAGGGCGAGGTCCCGGGCCTAGCACTTACATCGGGTAACGACCGTTAGCTAGGTCGTCCTTAAGATAATCGTCCTGTTATCTTTGACGTATTCCTATATGGATACGTTAACAATGTCTTTATGACCAAAAAATAATTTACTAATGTTCTGTATTTTTATGTATATAAAATTCTATCAAGTTTTAAATTTATAAAATCCTAATTTATCACAGCTAAATCAATACATGTTACAAGCAATGTACGAGATCAAGTATAATATAGTTTTGATAAGTAAGGGTGTTGAATTCTTGGGGAACAGATATGATTTAATTTAGATATAAGAGCAGTTAATTATCCTAAAAACAATTAAGTAGGGGGGAGGGGGTTAAATTAATTAAACTTGAATTATAACCAAACAAACACAAAGAACTTGATTTAGACAATCGGTTTAAAGTACTTCCATTTAGATTCTGAATCCTCCTATTTTACCGTGGTTTGTTTATTAGAGTGCAATTGATTTATTCAGTTGATTGCCAATTATTTTAACAACTAGTTATCTTGATCCGATGAACTAATAGAATTAATTATAAAGCAACTAACACAATGATCATTCGAATAGCTAACTAAATAACTAATTAAATACTTAAATTATGAATGAATTGATCTAGAGATTTCTTATTAATGATCATGACAATTAATCTAGCTTAACATGGATATCTAATATTTTCTTATATATTCAAGTTAACAATTATATTATCTAACCCTAGGATTTGGTATATCTCTATCCCTAACGGTTTATGGTAAAAAAAAAACAATTAAGATACAAGTTCATATGTATAGATGGATCCTCTAAACTATAATAAACTTATATATAGATAATAAAAATCGAAACTTTATTACATGATGTAAACGAACAATCATACGTAATAAATAATCAAACTTTATAAATCTATCTAACAAATCAAACCATAATATTTAGGAATCATCTACATCTTAGCAAAAGTAAAACAGTTTAGCCCATAATCTCTACTAAAACCAAAAAACAATCATTGATTTATAGCTAAACATGATATCTAAGACAGACCGAATGAGTAAATAACATTTTCAAGCTTCGATCTTCAAAACGATGCTCATATCGTGTTCTTCGGCCTTCAAATCGACCAAAAGGATTTTGGACGACTTTTATCTTCATACCAAAGGTTTCTCTTGGTTGCATACCAATTCAGGTTTGTAAAATCATATATTTATAGAATCAACGACGTAGTGGCACGAAGGGTAAGTGTTCTCGTCGCTAAGCCTAATCTTCCACCTGAGTCGATCTCGATCTTGTCATCATCACGATCCATAATTTTTGACACGTTAGCGGACACAATACATTTTTCAAGGTTGTTTTGGTCGTTCTTCGTTTTTTAGTCCTTTCCACTCTAACATTTTCCTTTTGTTCCAAGCCACGAATTTTCCTATGATTATTCAGCTCAAAGCATTTTAAGAATCTTTTATCTTTAATTATATCAATTAAGCACTAAATATTAAGATAATTACCCCAAAATATATGACTAATTTAGGCAATATCAACCAACAACAAATACTCAGACTAACAAACTCCAACTCGTATCTAGAAAAGAAAAATACTTGCCAACAACTACTTAACCACCAAAATAGCATACATAAGCAAACATTTTGCCATTAGGGTTTTACTGTAGCTTTTTAAGGGATTTGTGATCGCAACCCTTTCAAAACCGGAAGAAAATTTTAAGAAATCATGTTGGTCGAAGCTTATGAAGGAGTTTGCATAGTTAAAGAATATGCGAGCAAAATTTTAAGTATATATGAATCTCTTTCTTAATTAAGTGAGGGCATTTGCAAATGACAGTGTCTTCTTGTACCTGGAGCTTGTTGGCTTTTGAAGGATCCTAGGATGAAAACAACAACATTCTTGCGTGGTGATCCAATGTTTTACAATAGGCGTAACTGGATTGAATCATTCGCGATGGAAATTCCCTTCAAGGGGAACATTATTCTCAAAGTGTGCATTTGAAACCATTGTCATTAGATTATTTAACAAGCTAAACATTGTGGCAATTTATCCACATATATCTGGCGTATATGTGAACAATTCATTCCACATCATCTATAGATATGCCACTAAGAGAACCTGCTAACCTGTTGAAAATGGAACCAATACCTTGTTTAGAACTTTAGAAGTATTTTAAAACATTACACCCTTATAATGCACACACACACACACAAAAAAAAAAAAAAAAAAAAAAAAAAAAAAAAAAAACAAGGGCCATTTAAAACTTAAACCGATAGATTGTAACTTATAACGACATTATCCCTTAGTTATTCATCTTTATAACTATCAAACATATTTGTATTTTTAACTCTCAAGTATTCATTGTTCGAATTAATTTCATTTTAAATCAATATATGGTACTCTTATAACAAAGATTTATTTTAACTCCGAATAACGGCCAATGGTCCAAATGGTTAATTGCTTAAACGGCAAACCTTTGAAATAGACACGTAATAATTTAAAAGAAAAATATACTATTAATTATTATGTCATGAGAGAGGTAGGTGGGGGGTAGGGTGGATGGGTGCTTTTATGTTGGAAATTTGGTTAAATGAAATGTACAATGAATATCATAATTTTGTTCTATATATAAAATATAATATTTCCAATATGAACTTAATTTGGTCATTCTCCTCTTCCAAGTTGCACTTTGTTTTTGATCAGTTTTACTCGCAAAAACTCACTTGTTTCTCAATGAATTTAAAGATTAACGATAACAATAACGACACCCATCCTCTTACTCTTATAGTATAATAAGCTTTTATTTTAGATTTTATCAATTGACATCATAAAAAAGTCCTATCTAATCAAATAATTGTGATATCGAATTATTATGTTGTTTCTCAATGAATTTAAAGATTAACGATAACAATAACGACACCTGTCGTCTTATAGTATAATAAGTTTTTATTTTAGATTTTATCAATTGATATCATAAAAATGTTCTATCTAATCAAATAATTGTGATATTGAATTATTATGGTGTAAACCTATCATTCATCAAGTTAATTTTTATAGTTATTTCTTTACAAAACAACTACATCTTGTTTCACTAATAAAAACCATACTATATAAAGCATCCACATCATTGTAATGTTATTGGGTTTTCAATTATATCATATCCGTTTTTATAATTGTTCTGACATAAGTGCAATATCAACATTTTTTATATGTGATTTCACTCACACATCAATATCTATTTCATATTTTTTTTTTAACAAATATCTTAATTATATATAAAGCTTTACTCCATCTATTTACCAAAATCATACTATGCACATATCTTATTTTCCACAAAAAGTGAAACTACATGATTATTTTTCGTATAACTTACATTTCTTGTTCACTTTTTTTTTTATCGTTAACAACTAATTCATTTTATTAGGTAGTTTATACTTATACCCACATAAGAGGTTTACTTATTATTTAGCAACACCCATTTATTTCTTGTGATATAAAGATGAAAAATAAATATAAACTATTAGGTAATGGTAATCTATAATTCTATACCTTAACACTTCTCAATGTAAAAGGAAAATCATTACAATAACACTTATTTACAAATTACATTCAAATTTACCTCTTTTTTCTCTTCCATTTTCTCAAATTTAATTTGCTAAAATTCAAAAAAAAAAAAGATTTGCATACATCAAATCAACTTACATTTTACTCATTCAATCCTTCGCGTTCCCATATGTCCACCAAGAATCCAACCATTTCCTAAAGGTGGATTTCCATAGTTTAGGGGCATATTTGGAAATTTACAAAAGTAGTGAAAATAGTGACTTACGGATAGAGGAATGGACCGAGGGAAGTTTTTGCTAGTGCCAAGTAGGCTTTCGTATGTCACCTTCCTTCTTTAACAAACAAAATCGATAAATAATGTTTAAAATATATTTGAGAAAAAGAAAGAAAAACCATTGAAGTCTCAATTTAAAACCTTAAAACGGGTTCTTGAGCTTTTGTTCTGTTCTTTGACTTTTTATGGTCAACCCATTGAAGTCTCAATTGAGTCCACCGAAGTAGTCCTGTTTTCAGAAATGGCATAATGAATTACAATTAGGAATTTTATACTAAAAATAATGGAGAAAATGTTTGGTAGATTGTTTTAATAATTCCTGTTTTTTAAAGATTTTAATTTAGCTGAATTGGTCTTTACTTTCGTTTCCTGATCTGGTAGGTTGTTACGTAATGGCTATAAATAGCCACTTCATTCAATAAGAATACTTTTTGTTTTTCTTTTTCGACTGGAATTTGTTACAAAAATTTGAAAATTTGTGAGAAAATATCAATAACTACATCATACTTTATGATGAGTGAAAGACATAGCATTGTAGATTAATTTCTGTACCCATTACAATGTCTTTTTAGTATAATAAATCCAGAAAAGTAAGAAACTTGCCATGATTTATGAATTCAGGCTCGATGATGTTGCTTCCAGTGCCACCAAAGTGGCTGAGACTATGAGTCGATGTACTGATACTGATAGATGAAGTGGTTTTCTGCGACTGAATTGCAGCACCATGATCTAAATCGCATGTGGTTGTGCTCCAAAACTCATCTGAGAGACTAGGTTTTGTCACTGTTCGTCCTTGAATTCTAAGCCCCTTTGATGGTTCATCGACAGCAATAACTGGCCTCGATTTGGAACAGCAGAAACAGCAAAGACTGCTCTGTTACAAACAATTACGCTTAAAACAAAGAAAATAGATACAATTTGACATTTGAAGTCGAAGACATCGATTTGTAATGCAAATGTAAAAATCGGTTTCTGTTGCGAACTTAATACCAATAATTATGCATATCACTGTCATGAATTTTAACATAATCATAAATAAGTGTGTCTTTGGAACATTTGGGCTGAAATAAGAGAAGGGGAAACAGGAATCGAGTACTTACCCCATGCAATCAAGTAAACGATTCATCCAACTGGTGAAAGAACTCCGCAAAATCATCCTTCAAATACATAGAGATTCAACCTAGATCACAAAATCGAAACGCTCATTTTGCAAAATCAGTGAAGCTCCAAATTTGTATGAAAAACGAGCAAACTGTGAGCTCTTAATACGCACAATGGTGAGAGGCAGTCGGTTGGGATTTGGGAAGATCGATATCGGTGAGACAGACTGTGTTGTTTGGGAAAAAAAATTGGGGATTTGATATGTTTGTTGAAAGAAGATTGACGAGTGGCAACCGCAAGACCTTTTTTTTTTTCTTTTCTTTTTTAAATTGGTCCTATGTTTGTAAAAGATAGAGTCGATTAAATTTTTGATCCCTTTAATTTGGTCAAGTTCATAGTTTTGGTCCCTGAGTTAAAAAACTGAGTCAAGTTCATAGTTTTAAGTTTTGGTCCCTGAGTTAAAAAACTGATTCAAATTTTTGATCCCTTTAATTTGGTCCCTGAGTCAAGTTCATAGTTTTGCATCCATATGGTTTTAACAAATTACAGTCTCAACCCCTATGTCCTTTACTACTTTGCCCTTTCTTATATATTTTTTTTCTTTTTTTTTTCTTTTATAATCTTTAGTAATGTTAAATTGAAAAACGATCCTAACCCCATCCACCCAACGTTTCTTCCTCCATCCTTCTTTATCTCTTTATCACGAACAACGAGTTCACCGACACTACTACCAGTTGTTGTTTGTCTCATATTTTAACAACTTACTTTTTCTCTCATATTTTAACACCCACTTTCTTGTTTTCTTCACCAATGTTGGAAATAGTTTTCATATCTCTCTCTTTCTTGGCTCTAATCCGTCAAATTTCAATAAAGAGATCTTGAAGAAGAGGTTTTATCTTTAGCAGTTTCACGTCCTTTTAGTGTTGTTTGGCAATTGATGCATTGAAATGGTGTTCGTGCAACAAGCTAACTGGTGCTCACATAAACCCCACAATTAACAATGCAAAGTCTTCCCCGGTAAATTTACATGCAATGAAACCTTGAATAGTGGTGGGTCATTCACATTATCTATTCGTTCTATATGCTCAATAATGATCATAAAAACGATATCGTCAATAACATATGATCTTATAAGGCCACACCAATAACAAGTAGATACTTAAATTAATATTTTTGTAATGATTCATATTAGAATATTAGAACTCTTGTATTTATTATAAATAAAATAGTAACATATGTATCAACCCGATTTTTTTAACCAAATTTTTTATTTTTAAAAGATAACATTTCATTCAAATATACATTTATTTATAAGAAAAACCATTGTTTGATAATCAAAACTCAACTATTCAAATCAGAGTATAAATAAAACATGTGAAAATCTCAAACATGATGTCAACGCGCGTGTGCAGTCAAGCCTTGTCATTCCTCCCAGTCTAATGAAATATCTAAAAAATAGTTAATCAACAACTATAATCCAAAGCTTAGTGAGTTCCCAAAGATACCACATACAACAATACACATACAAGTATACAATCAAGGCTCTTTGTGCTAAAAACCGGTCCGCTTGAACAGTATCGAGTATCTAGGCTTACAACACTTTAGTTGATCTTGCCATCAGCTCGCCTCCTTGTGAGTGTCTAGACTCACAATGCTTTATGTTGTTCTTGTCATCAACTCACCCCTTGGCCCTCAGCATAAAGCTATTTTTCCCGCATTTTGGCCTTCCACACAAAGCTCGAACTCATTAGCCCGATACAAATATGTCGATATATACATAATACAAATAAATAACCAACTCAACATCACAAGTAAGTTTTTGTTTGTTTTTTTGAAGCAAAAATTCATGAAGTCTGTGGACCACCTCTGCAACCCTCTGCAGCAGAAGAGGTTGACCAAACGGCTGCAGACTGTAATAAGAAGCGTGTTTGTTTTTTAACATCTGCAGGTTGTTGCAGATATTAAAATATTAAAATAAATTGATTTAATAAACTGAAATTAGTTTTTCACTACAAAAAATTTAATAATTATAGTCTTAAAACATTGAAATAAAATTAATACAATCAAATTAGTCATACAATAACATTTTGAAATAAAATTCATACAACAAAACTTTAATAATTCTCATTCCATATTTTGCATCAATTACTCGGCAATTTCATCTCATAACAGGGTCATATATTCACGGTCCGCTGCAGTACCATGTGTTGGAATCTCATCTTCATCATCATCAACGCCTACATTTTTATTCCGAACCACGACATTTGGTTCGTCATATTGTGCAAAATACTCATCATGTAGTCCCTCTCTTCTTATAAAATTATGAAGTGGGAAACATGCAAGGGTAATGTTTCGTTGTGTAACCAACAAGAATGGTGTCATCCTCTTCGATATAGGGAATCGTGCTTTCAAGACACCAAAATCACGCTCAATGACATTTAGAATTTTTGCATATGCATGGTTAAATTTTTCTTTATTGGTTAATGCATGTCTTCGACAGAAATCTCCAAGCCAGTACCTCACATTACGATACGATGCCATAAAACCTCGAATGTTTGCATAGGCGGCATCACAAAGATAATATTTATCTGCAAAAATGCAAAAAAAAAAATCATCCAGTTTTCAAACTAAGATAAAACTATTTCATTAACCATAAATTTACCTGGTGGTGAAAACGGGAATGGTGCATGTGGATTTGCTAATGCTTCTGATAATATTCTAGAATCATGTGATATTCCTTCCCAACCAGTCATAACAAACGTAAACATCATGTTGGAGTCACAAATTGCCAATACGTTTTAGTAACAATCGCCTTTTCCCCTACTTCAATATAAATCTCGTTTGTTTGCAGGGACAACATCGTGTATCAAAGTGCCATCAAGTGCACCAACTGCTCCTTTGAAAACCTGGCATAGCCTCCTATTATGCCCCAGAATGTTTGGATTCAGATTAAAAGAAGTTGGTACTATAATGTCATGTGCGAAAATCAGCATTTTGTCCAACACTTCATGAAAAAAATTATAAATTATTTGCTTTGAGTGTTGAAATCTTCGCTTGATAATCACATAATGTTGGTTATGACCGATCATCATCAAAAACATCGCCATCTTTTCCTCAACTGATACATGTTTGCTATCCTTTAACGCGTAATTTACTCTAAAATGAGCACATACTCAGACAAATGATTCACGGGACATGCGTAGTACTTCAACACATTGTAGAGGATTACAGTGAAGTAACTCTAACGTGAATTCATGTCTCGTCATTTCCGAATCGTTGTCTCGCACTCGTTTCACACCCCTCTTCCAAAAGTAGCGAACGTACAAGTACATTTGAATTATGAGAAGTATCTTTTTGTCGTGGTCCATTAGGAACCTATTAACCAACACAAGTACCAAATAAAAAAACATAAAAATCAAGTACCAAATAACAAAACATAAAACTCAAGTACCAAATAAAAAACATAAAAATCAAGTACCAAATAACAAAACGTAAAACTCAAGTACCAAATAACATAACATAAAACTCAAGTACCAAATAACATAACATTCAAGTACCAAATTGATAGGTTTTATACCAACAATCCTATGTGTGCATGCAACCCTAATTGGATCTATGTTTTCACTATAAGACATACAACTTTATGAACACATAAGGAACCCTAGCATGCTTCTACTATTTTCGAAAATCATATAGAAGGGTAGAACACATACCTTTGTTGTTGTATTGCAATAACAACTAATTTCCTTGATCTCTTAGACTCTTGAAAGCAAGCACCACAAATGTAGTGCCTCTAATGGCTCACAAACACCAAGAAGCAAGAAGGCAATTATGAGAGAGGAGGGAGGATGCTAATTTTCGGCCCTAGGGTTTCTCTTGGAAGCAAGTGGCCGAAAATTGCAAGCAAGGGTCTCTATTTATAATGTAGGCTGCTAGGTTTTCAGTCTAAACCCTAATGGACAGCTTAGTCACCAAGCAACCCAAGGAACCTTCTGGAATAAGGCCTTGGACGAAAATATGATGATCCTTCATCATAATTTCGTTCCCCCTTAGCCCATTAGGTTTCTCAGCCCAAAACTCAACTATCACACATTTGACAGTTTAAGCCCCTTTATTTAATTAATTTCTTTTAGTCATCAAATTAATTCTTAATTAATTCATGACTAATACTAATTAAACAAATATGATTTATCCTTTAATATATTATTCTTATAATATATTAATAAACCATAATATCCTCTCTCTTTCCTTAAATTACCTTGTCAAGTTGCTTTGGTGAAGGCAACCCAAAAGGACCATGCACAATCGGGTCAAGTGCATACCAAATATCGTTACAGACTTAGACACTAATCCACCAGTCTCCCACTTGGATAAGTCTAGTAACTATATCTCACATATGACTTCAGGATCCGATTAGCAATCGTAGCTTTCAATAGCCGCTGTCAACTCTGATCAGTAATCTGTCCTTCAGATAAGGGATCGTACAATCCTCTGTTCTAGATATCATGTTGACAATACTAGTTGTTCAGCATTTGTTCCTCGATCTCTGATTTGTTCGACATAGAACTCAGTTGAACACATCAACTTCATCTTGACCGGGCCCGGCACATAAGTCAAACCAAATCATCGAGTGGCCAAGATATCGCTTTTATCCTCTTAGAATAAAAGGAACAGATAAACTTCGACTTATATGCTCTTATTATCCACTAGCTAAGTTACACACAATAATACGTTTTATAACATCAAGTTACTGATGCGTTTTCGTATTATCAATGCATAATCAACTAGCAAACAATAACCATATCTCTAGGTTTAAAGATTATATGATATTATCATCTTGCGATCACTTGTGATAACTTTCATGAAGTGATACTTGCAAGTGCGGGTTTATTCCAATGCTCAAATCATATTTCATAAGCACTCATAAACTTTGTAGCAAACCTTTGCTATGTCTAAAACCTTTTAGACAATCTACAAACAAATTCATGACAATCTTCTTTCATATCTACTTCCAACATATGAGCGATTGTGAACCGTTCGAATAATTTTATTATTCAGGAAGTCAAAACATGCAAAATAGAAACAATAGATAAATAATCAACACAAGATAGTAACCTTTCTTATAACACACATTTATTTAATCATCAAATGTTGAATACAAAATTATCCATTACAAGTTTCCTACCTATCTAATCTAAACTAATGTCGTCCTTTAGCCCAGCGCTCCTAGCGTGCTGCAAATGCTTGACCCTACTCAGTCCCTTCGTAAGGGGATCTGCTG